AAAATCCATATCTTGTGCTCTCGTACAAAGATCATTTTAAAGCTGAGATAAGAATTTAGTATATAAGGACATCTCCTGGTAAATTGTAAAATAGTAATTTTGGTTAAATTCTTGATTTTATTGATTTTTTATTGATTGAGTAGTAGTTTCAGTTTATTTGTTTATTGTTATTGTAGAAAGTTACATTTTAATTCCAATACCTCATTAGAGCACACATGAATTTTTGAGTTGACAATTTGAACCATAACATTCAAGCATTACATTTGTACCTACAATCCTTAAAACAAAATATATGTAAAAATACACGCAGCTTCAGTTGACTGACTGTTAAAAGAACCCATTCACCAAAACATTTATTTGAGTAGATCGTTAAATTCGTGAGTGCATGGGTCACATAAGTCCGCTCAGAGACTTTTTGCATTACACCGCCGAGACCTCTAACCTCTAATTTGAAGCAACATGTGGTGCAGGCTTGATGTGTGGCATTACGTTTTAAACTTCACTTCTGCGTTTTGGGGGTTTAAAATAAAGTGAACCATGACGGCCACTCTGTATTTTCTCTTTCCAGAAACTGATGTTGTTATGATCTACCGCCTCTATACAGTCTAATACATTTGCCCAACCCAGATTCATGTGATTCCAGTCATTGTTATGAAGCACATGGTTCCCAAGTCCCTACAGTAGCTGCTCGTGTGACAGCTGGGAGGAGGACACTCCTTCACATCAGACACCTGTCAGAGCCCACTTCAATGACGGCGCGCTTATTACGGCACCGATGACAGATGCAGAGTGGTCAACCAGGGATGCTAATCTCTGTTTATGCAATCCGGCACGTCACAATCAAAGCGAGAGAAAGATCAGCTAGAGGGTAAGGAGGCGGCTGAAGGGGCGTGCAGAGTGTAGGAGATGGTCTCTGCTGATTGAACACAAGCGGGTGACTTTCAGTGGTTTACGTGCTGCTCTCACATGGACAGGAATGCGTGCTCATCTCTCCCCTCAGCTGTTGTTATACTAGTGACGAAGAGGCTTCAGCCCCGGTGATTCATGTCCTGCCAAGGGAGAGGCTCTGCCTCCCGTTTGACCTGAGAGGGCCGTATCTGGAACATCTTGAGCCAAATGGGTCCTGCCCACATACAAAGATCAAATAGTAGACAAAGGCACATTTCATCTGTCATGTAATGACAAGGATTAATGTGGTAAGATTGTGGCTGAACATGAAATTTTGACTTGTAGGGTAATTTGCTCAATCATATTAGCGGTTTAACGGTTAGAAACGGAATCATTAAAACATACTTTTAGCTTGCGCTTATAGTGTGATGGGCATTATAAGTCAGGCTTGCACAGACGCAGCAGTCAGTGCTGTTTGTTTTCATAATGCTGCTCAGTACAGGCTGGGGCCAATCTGTCCTGTTGACTCCGAGCACCATAATTACCCTTCCTGGGACTGAAAGCCGATGCCCGATGAACCAGAGGGAGACAGAGCTTTGCGTGCAGCCGTTAAGAAACCAACATATTGTTCTTTTACTGTCTTCCAACGGAAGAGAGAGAATTTGTGCAACTGGCCTACTCACTTTACCTCTCCATACTTTCGGCCCCAGACTCTTCCCCCTCTCTCCACCCTCATCTCCCTCTCTTCTGTTTTGCTTTTCCTCAGCTCACATCTGGTTTTGAGTCAAGGCCAGGTTGGTTTCTTCTGGAATGAAGGGCCTTTATTTCTCAATGGCCCCATTCCCTCTCCAGTTTCGTTCTGCGGTGACGAGTATGCAGTTAGTTTACAAAGTGGTATTCCTTTTCTTTGTCAACCCTCATCTCCATCATTGGGGAATCCCACATTAATCTCCTATTAATGCCCAGTGGGAGAGGGAATGTTGGTCGACTGGTGGTCGTCAAGGCTTTAGTCTGATGCCCTCCTTGGTGTTGGTTCCAGGTATATTATAGAAGCTGTGTGCATCCTGGAGGACTCCCGCTGTTGGCTGTTTGTCTCCTAAAACCCACTGAGATGGTTGGTCTGGTTTATGCAAAGAACTGCCGACACCCGACATGAAGCGCTGTTGTCGCACGTAATGTAGTGTTAACTTAATGTGTTTAAACTAAATCCACTTTATATAGAAAGTAATAATTTGAAGTATTATAGTACGTAATGATACGAGGAAGCATCCTGATTAGTTTCCAGCTAATGGATATACTTCGATTCACGCCTGGACATCGCATGAACAATCTACCCGTCGGCCTTCCCTGTTTTTAAAGATGTGATATCCACAATCAGCTGTGCTTTGTATGGATTGAAGAATGGACCAAAATAAGTGTGTGTGCACTTCTCGCTAGCGGGTGAGCGAGAAGAGGGGGGTGTGAGAACAAAGATGAGCAGTGTTTTCCAGCGGGAGGATGGCTGGTTAACAGGCACAGAGAGAGAGAGAGACACTGCTGGGAGATGTCTGGTGTCACCTGGCAGGGAGCTTATGAAAGCTTCCCCTGGTTACCTTATCCCACATGAAAGTCTGCAGCAGGCTGCCGCTTTGGGGAAGCTCGGCAGAACTGATGCGTTGAACAGGAACAAACATCACACGCCTCGCTGTCTGTCTCTTACGTTCAGGCATCTTGGAGAAATAACATGTTTACGTGGAAGAACACTGTCAGTGAATATTTTCAAGGTAATTTTTTCCCAAGACATATCTAATACCATATCATCTTCTTCCTCCCACTCATGCAGTTTTCCATCCATCTCCCCTATGCATAATATCGCACACTGGGTGGTTGTGTTCATCGTGGGCTTCAGGTGGACGCCGCTGGTGGAAAACAGGGACCACTTTGCGCCAAAATGCTAACACATTTGCGTTGCCTAAAGAGCAGTTTTGTGATCTGATAGTGAAAGAATGAGCGCAGCCACATGCCAGAAAGCAGTTAATTACACATGTGGTGGGCAGATTGAGCCCGACACCATGGGCGATGTGGAAGGAGATGCCATGTATTCCGACGTTAAACTGCAGACTGCGGTCATAGCCCGCCCGCTCTCTCATTAGCTCCCCCGTTGGATGTAACGAGCATGAAGGTGGTGGTGGTAAACGGGGAGCCACATGTTCAACACAAACCCTGCTGGTCCCTTCCCTTTTTGCACAAACAGCAAGACCTCGCCTCGTTGCAATTAGAGACCAGAATCTCTTTTGGCAGCGGGTTGATTCATTTGTTTAATTGTGTTCAACGCTTTCATTTACCTGGCTCTGCATCCTCACGGGAACCAGGATAAGAGGAATCTGTGGTTGTCTTTGATGTTTCACTGGCCTGCAGAATTGTGTATCTGCCTCTTCTTTACATGCTGCCCTTCATTAAGGGAGGAGCGATAAAAGTGTAGAAGGGACGGAAACCGTGTGTGATTCTATGCAGAGATGCACAAATGCTCTTCTGGTTCCTAGTGTTTCTATTTGGTGATTTAAAAACTGCAGCTTGTGCAAGTCGTCTCCACCTTTCCCAGAAGCGTCCCGGGTTTGTTGAGGCCGACCTCCACCTCTCCCGCTGGGCTCACTGGGTCTGGAGTAAGCAATAGATAGGCCGTATCTCCCCTAAACCACATCCTCCCGTGCTTTACTCTTATCTGCCTCTCTACTGTCTCATCTTTGTTCCTCTTATCTTTCCTTCCCTCCTTTTGCCCTTTGTGCCCTCTTTCCTCTGCTCCTTTCATTCCTATTTATTCCTCCCGCTTATTTCCTGTTTTCCCTCTCCTACTCTTCCCTTCTCCCCAGGGCTCAACTTCCATTCTCTCTGCTGTTTTCTCTCAAGGTCTCCGGTGGCCAATTTGCAGGGGGTGTCCGAGTCTTGACCCTGAGACGCAACCGGCTCCCCCCCCCCCCCTTTCAGCGGTGAAGGTCAGGTCCAGATTACAAGCTGGAGGTATCATCCTCTGAAGTGAGGAATAATCACGGGCTTTGAGACTGTTAAATACAACCACAGGCCCCGGCGCTGTCATTACGCTGAGAAACATGGGAAGGGGGAAAGGGGGAAAGGGGGAAAGGGGGGCTCGCTCACCTAAACGCATGCAGATGTTCAGACTCTGGCTCGCGCCTTGGTTCGGTTGAAGGTACATCAAGTTCTTTTGTTTTCTAGCATCTATCTGTTTTTTATTAGTCTTGTTTCACCGAGCCTCCTTGATTCAATCTGAAGGGGTTTTATTTCAAAGTGTGTGTGGAGCAGCTCGGAGGACTGAGATGACGTAAATAAGATTAATCATTTGTTGTTTAAATACTTGTGGTTTGGGGGCTGTGCTGCACTTAATTTTCATTGTTTCCACAATCCAGTCGGAATTAAAGAAAGGCCGTGTGTGCGCGCCCATTGAGACCTTTTTGCCTTTAGCACATGTGTGCGATGCTATTGAGTACTTTGTGGTTCTGCTTTATGCAGGATATAGATTAGTCACATATGGCAGCAGAGCCTTTTTTCCTCTCACACCCCTTTGTCCCGCTTTTGTTTTGATAGCCATGGAATTGTGTATTTAATCAGTCCCATCTTCTCTGCATGGAAATTTCCGTTGACGGTCATTCTACATTCAAAATAAACACACAGATTTGAGAGTTTGTTGAAAGGTTTGTCCAACATAATTACATTAACTTTCGCTATGAGAAAAACAATACAGCTTTTTACCTAAACTTCTTCCATTGTGCTCTCCGTGCTGGGTGTCAGGTCAAACGCGGTGAGGATAAACCGGTCGGCCCAGACGGATTGATGGATGAGAGGGGTCCATCTGAGGGGCTTGCAGGAATCTTTGAAAGCTTTGGCCGCACTCGTTGTGTCTCAGACGGTGAAACACAATAAGCGTGCAGATGTTCAAAGTGTTTGGCCGGGCCGGAGCCTCCAGCCCTCCCCTGTCATCTGAGTAGGAAATACTTTAGCTGGAACTGTTTGTTTTCTCTGTGTCTGTGGTCTGAACTGTAGATTTACTTACATCTCTGTCCCCCCCCCCACCCCCCCCTTTTGCTCCCTCTCTGTCTCTCCCTCTCTTCTCGTCCCAGGGGTTTCCAAACGGTGAGCTGAAGGAAAGACAATTCACAGATCAACACTGTCCCCTAGAGGGTAGGCTGAGAAGCATGTCTACTCCCTTATTGAAAAGATCCACGCTTGTTTCAATGTTCTTTGATGCATAAAACAGATCTAACATTATATTACTTCATGTATGTGCAAAAAGACTATATGAGACCTTGAATAAAATGTTGTTTTAAAAGATATCATCGCATGCATTTATAATTTCAAGATACTTTCGTGTAGAATTTTCAAATGCGGTCCAAAATCACAAATTGATGCGTTTTTGAGCGAGAAGCAGGAAAATAATGCTTCATAAACATTCAACATATAAAGTAAAGAAGAAGCCTTTAGGTCTCTGCATTTAACCCGTCTCACACAGTGGGGGCCGTGTATCGTCATGTGAGAGTGGAACCACACAAAATGCTGCCCATTTCTCACATGTGTCTAAATTTGAATGTGTCCTCCTGTGTTGACAGTGGTTCTTCCTCCAGAGAAGGCTGAGGGCTGTGAAAGCTACCTGCAGTATCTGCACCCAGAGGATGGAGTGCAGGAGATCCATAGAGATTCGTCCAAAGCTCCTGGGAAAAAAATCAGTCTGGATGTAAGCAGTTATGTGGAATGCAGTAATGTGTTAAAGTCACATAAGTTTAACACGAATATGCAACAAAGTGGTGGCACTGGGACTCATATTGTAGCAAAAGGTCCACGGTTCTGACCAACCCCTTCCCTGCAGACTTAAAGGTGCATATCCAGCAAATGTTATCAAATATTATTCCAAAATCCTGAAGCTCAAGTAGATTAGGACTCTAAATCGCTTGTAATTATTAACATAAGTTCCATTTGTGTCAGGTCAAAATGATTTAAACATGGGTTAAAAAAAGAAATGCATTGTGGGTAACCTCTATCCCAGCCGCAGCTGCAGGCCTTCGGGCTGTGAACAGAACATCTGTCTGTATGTTGACGCTGCTCCAGACTTTATCCGGATTGAGTTTAGGGACCAATAAATAGATTGTAGTGTTTTGACTTGCATGTTGTAAAGAACGGCTTTTCTCTGCTCATTGGTGATCACCACTGGTTATGTGAGCCGAGGAGATATTATAGAACCATAAAGCCTCCCTCCTAAGGGACTCCTCCCTTGTAAGTGCGCGCCGCCTTTCACACAGTGTGAGCTCTCCACCACGACTGCAGCACGGCCCATACTCCAGATGTTTATTTTTCCAATTATGGCCATGTTACTAGATACATCTGAATCAATGTTACTGCCAGAAAGTTGTAAGTGAGAATAGAGGTTGTGCTCATTTTTCCTGGAAGAAAGTAGAAAGAAAAGGTCACTGGTCGGGCCCGCCATGCTGACTTATTTCCCCACGCAAGGTAAAGGCAGCGCAGACGTGATATGTTTACATGTGGAAAACCAGACTTTCAGTTGGCCTCGGTTCTATTGCTTTAAAGATGTTGTTTTTACTGTGAGGTGTCCAACACTTTGTCATGCAAAGGAAGACAGTCTTTATATGTACACCCTGTTTTTAACAGTATATTCTTTTGAAGAAGGAAGGAAAACAACACACATTTCCTTTTGAAAAAAATGTTCATGAATCGCGCTGAAGACAGCACCTTCAACGGTAATATCGGACATACTTTTGCTGCCCCCAGTTGTCCTGATCGCCGTCCTTAAAACACTGTGGTATTACTATAGCGTTGCTCATTATTTACATCGATATAAAGACTGAAACCTTTCAACAGTTACTGTGTATCGAGTATGATCCTGTCTGTCTCCTCAGGACTTGGAGTGTGATGTTTCTGTGGAGGACGACAATCGTCAGGAGTGGATCTTCACGCTCTACGACTTTGACAACAGTGGGAAAGTTACAAAAGATGTGCGTGTTTGTTACCTTTCGCCGTTTCTCTGGTGAACTGGGAGACGGCAAGCTGTGCTAACTGGGTTTAATCTCATACTACAGGACATGTCTAGTCTGATGCACACCATCTACGACGTGGTGGACGCCTCTGTTAATCACTCCTGCCATAATAAGAGCAAGACCCTACGTGTCAAACTGAGCGTCACTCCGGAGCCCCGGTGCAACAGAAAAGAAACAGCAACAGGTACATGACAACAGAAACATATATATTTATATAAAGTTTACATGCTTTTTGTAGAACCGTTGTAGCGTCTGTTCAGATTGTTCCTTCACATGAACGGTTGGTTTATTGTATTTAACCTCTTCAGATCGCCATCACCAAGAAGAGGGACGCGCGGCCGACAAGCGACTGTCCTCCTACGTCGGGTCAGTACTTTACTCCAATGCTGGTCTGTGTGTGATGTAATATTTGTTGTCAGTCCTCCGATGGCGACGGCTTACAATGTTTTTGCAGCAAAGGGCCAAGCAATGAGGCGCCGGCCCCGGAGGGTCAGCATTACTGTGTGGACGAGAACACAGAGAGGAGGAATCACTACCTGGACCTGGCTGGTATTGAGAACTACACCTCCAGATTTGAGGGTAACAGCCTGCTTGTTGTCGTGCTCTCAGATTTGTTAAGGCTGGCGGGTACCAGCAATACTGTGTGATATGCACTCATATTTGCGTCAACCACTGACCCTGTGCCTGTTCTTCAGGTATCCCCCCTGACTTCCCCCCACAGGAGGTTCATGTCCGGAACCCCCAGAGCCAGAGTCGCTCGCGCTCCCAAGAACCAGAAACCCAAGTCGCTCACCAGCGACGCTCGCAGGTCATCAGCGATAACTACAACCCTACAGAGTCTCGAAGCAAGAGCGCACACTTCTCGAATGTCAAATCTCCCAAAGGAACCTACAGGGGAGGTGGAGGGAACAACGGGGTCGGCGGAGGCGGCAAATCCACTAAATGTCACGGCCACCACCCGCCTGTGCAGAGCACGCCGCACAGTGGCGGCGCGGCGGGACACGGCGGTCAGGATGTGTACCACTTGCCACACCAAGCCAGTTCATCCAGCCACCACCAGCACCCTCTGCAATACAGCCACAGCAAACGCCTCCGGGCGAAGGGCCCGAGAGGCCACGTCTCCATCCAAAAGCCCGCTGCGCCTCAGTCCCACCCCCACCCCCACCCCCACCAGCAGCAGCAGCCGCCTGTCCACTCTGTGCTGCCGAACCTGGAGAGAGAGCAGGCGTCTGGCCCTCCGGGGAGCCCGGGGTTTGTGGTTCCTGTGGTTCAGCGCCACGAGCACCACCACCACCACGAACACCACCACCACCACCACTACCACCATTACCATCAGACATGACCGCCTTCAGTGGGCAGTGACTGAAACCGTACAGGACCAACCACACCCAACCGACCACACCAGTGTGAAGGACCTAACGCCGGCCCATGGGGAGCGTCCCGCGCACTGTGCAGGATCTTTTTACTCTTCTCTTACAGATATATTCTCAGATTAGACGTACAGGAGAATCATTTGCTGCGATGGCTGATTATATTGGACCGGAGGGATGTTTTATTTCTGAGGTTATTGTATAATAACAGAAGATATGCGGTACAGTTTTTGACGTTTTGGTAGATGTTCTGCCGGGGCTGATGGGACTGTGACCCATGTTCAGTGAGGGTGCAGATGCCAGGAAGGAACAGATCAGAGGACTTTACACATCCTTTCCCTCCGGATGCTGTCGGTTGATGTCCCTGGAAGCTATATGCCAGAGTAGCTGTGTTGTTCTATGTGAGACCTTTCCAAAACATGGATCTCAGGTGTAAAGGTGCTGCTGCTCTTGAGCGTTTCATAGAGGCTGTTGTGGACAGAGGACTTGCTGTTGCTGTTTGGGGGAGAGCCGAATGAAAATCACCACTGCCAGTTTTAATGCAAAACTTTCATGCTATATGTATAAAGAATCTATATATGTAAACATATTTTACTGTACAATTATTATATACGTCTATGCATATTTCATCATCGATATAATTATGCATATTTTATATATTTTGTCTTTTATATGTTTTAATAAACATTATATTGTTCATTTAAATGCACAACTGCTTATTTCTGCACATACACACTTGATTATAGTGTCTGCAACTGTGTGAAGAGCAATGGGTCAACAGCACAAAATCCCTCAGTGTGATGTTATTTATTGAGATTTATCATTCAATTATTATACTGTAATTAAAAGCTAATTGTGGTCTGAGAGTAGATCTTATTTTTCATTGGAAGCAAAACTGATAGTTGATAGTTTCAGTGATTTATGTTTATACGTTACTTGTTCAGGTTGATTAACCTAAAAACTGGTGATGATGAACCAGCTTTCAAGATGTTCAAAGGTAAATGACAGACAGCGGATCCTGGTCAGCAACTGCAAGGATTATAATGATTACATAGATACACAGGAACAGCAGTAATCATCGGCCTATAATCCAAATGTAGAACTTTTACTGTTACTTGATGGTGTATGATTGAGAGGGAAGTGCAAACAGAAAGATCCACGGGACACTTCTTCTTTCAGAAACAAACCTTTTGTTTTATTTAGGCCCCTGTTCAAAAGTAACACGCCCAAAATGAGTAGACTACATTTCTGAAACTGCAGAGTCTAATTTAATAATCTTTGAAGGTTACCTTCTGAAATATCTGAAGAGGTTTAAACTTTCCCATGTGACCAATTGGACTAATTAGAAATGGAACACAACATAAATTAAAGATTTTGTTCGCGCAGAAAAATAACTGTGAAAATCCCCTGGGAATGATGCAGTTCACAAAATCTGAATCATTATGCACAGACTGATAATAATGTAAAGCAGAGATGAGGTTTTAGAGGCGTGCTAAGGCTGATTCTTTTAGGCACATTTAGGGGCCATCTGTACTAAATAAAATGTTCAATGGTAATTTAATTTAATGTAATTTACAAGTTGTAATATTACCTAAATACCATCTAAATACAACAGGTTTTGTTTTGAATAATCCCTGGCCAACAGGTCTGTCTCTGTGTCCGCCACTAGGGGACACCCAACAGCCATCAATGATTTGCATACAGTCAAACTATGGCTTATATCAACTAAACTAAAGGGGACACATCATCTGAATAATACTGTAAAGTGAGTACATGAATGTACATGAAGTCAGTGTTCGATCCAGCAAAATACAGCAACACGCTCTGCTGGCTTTCAAATTGACCTGAGAGAAGTTAAATCTTGTCAATTGATTAAACAATCTCACCTCAATGTCCATTTAGAAGCTGCTCTGGAGCTTTCCATCATATCTCGTCTTCATCAGCTGATATCATTTACCATGTTGTCATAGAAACAAGGGCTTCATTTTGGAGTAAAAGATTTTCAGTATTCATTCTGTTCTGGAGTTTTTGATTACATAACATGATCTTCATCAGAAGATGAAAGGGAAGGAGCTTCAAAAACAGATAACGTTGTTAAGGGTCAAGAGTTCACTACGACCCTTAACTTGGTATTAATAATGTTTCACTATTTATGTTTGTTTAGATCAGTAACACTTGCAAAGAATGTACAATTTGCACAGACTAAAAGGCCTGTTTTGCAAACTCGCAAACTCGCAAATCGCATCAGTGAATATAATTCAAATATATGGTATCAAGTCAACATTAATTGGGCTTTTAATTATACTCAGTTTTCTTCCTGGATCAAATGGATCGGTGTGACATTGTGTACCTGTCGTTCAAGCCCCAAACAGAAACAAACGTGACTACAGCAACGCGTGAGCTAATTCTCCCCCATGTATCACTCCTGTTTCCCCCGATCGCCCGATTATTTAATGCATTATAATTATAAAACTGTTGGCATAATAGTTCCTTTGTGTCGCTTCATATCAACGCGCTTTTGTTAATTGCCAGCCGGGCTCAGAGAAAAGCAGCATTCCCTGTTCCGGTCGTCAGGGATTTAGGGAAGGGACTGAATCCGAGCCCCGACTGAGACAAACAATGGCAGCTATGAAAGGCGAGGGGAGGGTCGGCCCGATGCAAATATCCACTTTGTGCGCCCCGGAGAACCTGCGCTAAACAGTGACAAATACAGACTGTGGAAGTGGAAGAAGCCTACGAATTGCAGACACTTGCTGTAAAACTGCTTGTTTTTTTTTGCAGGAGAGATCGTGGGGTGGTATTTCTGGCTGTATTTCGCAGACATTTACGGACAAAGTTTTTTTTTTTTTTTTTACATGAAGTCGTCTTTGCTTCAGCAACAAGTGGGGAAGCGGAGCGCAGACGGGCACTGGAGACAGGACGCCGCAGCATCTCCGACATGTGCAAAGTGCACCTGCTGAAGGACGCAACGCAGAGGTAGGAAACCAATGGTGTCCAGATACACGCGCAGCGTGCACGTGTATCAGGGTACCTTAGTGCACAAGTACGACCTACACTTTCCGTCGTTTCAAAATATGAGTCACTTTCCCCCCATTTTTTGCGCATTCCTCAGCACTGGCGAGGCTACATTTAATTTTACGCCACTATCAATGGAAAAGCTTTTCTTTTTTTACCCAATATCCAACAGTTTCATTCGACCCAACTTTTGTTTTTTTTATTTCCCTGTGCAGCTTATTTAGTGCAGGTAAGCCTGTCTCAAGAAAATGTGATTACCCGCAGCCCATCGACACGCTGGCTTTCATCCGAGACATGCATGAGAAAGGCTTTGCAGCATAATAGATCAGTGGGAGCTGTGAGCTCGTGTGGACGTGGTGGGGCGAATGCAGCGGGGTCTCACTCCAATATTGATATTTGTGTGTGAAAAAGAAAAGTGTTTCATGAGAAGAAAAAATGGACCGTCTGGGGGGGGAGGGGGGGGGGCTTTTAAATGTGAGCCTTTGGGGAGACAGAAACAACTCTTTGCCCCAGTCTGCGTCATCTCCACAGTCTGCACATTTTTGCCTGCGTTGTGCAAAAAAAGTAATGGAGTGAAATGCTACAGTGAAATATCCCCCAGAAGAAACATCAAAGCGAGCTCAACATGAGGCCTTTATCTGAACAATTGCTCCATTCTACCCTGCCCCCCTCACACACACACACACACACACACACACACACACACACACACACACACACACAACCCCCTATTCCCAATTTCCACCTGATTAAGCCCTAAACTGAGCAGAGTTGAATCTGGAGGGAAAACGGTTCACTAATTGTGATACACAAGTTCTGACACAAAAGAAGGAAAACTGTGTTCTCTCTTTTCTAATTTGATTCAGTAAGTAGGAAGGAACCATATTGTTGTACAGATAAAGACACTCGGCGAAGAAGTGACACATGGAGGCAAACCACATCTTTGTATCATCAGCTCCTGCTTTGTTACTCCAGACATCAATTCATTCTGTTCTGTTAATGTTTAAACTAAGTTGTTTGTGTTTTTTCACTATAAGTAGAATATTTGCAAAATGATGAAATATTTATTATTGCGCATACATTAGCGTGCATGTGTAATAATCCATAAGAATGCATGGACTATAGGCTATTTAGTGTCAATGCCACCAATGCAGTTTATGACAACTCTTTACAATTCAGGAGAACGCTCTGCCGGCTCCTCTTTGAGTGGCTCTTTCTTTTACCTCTTTGACCTCCGTGGGCGGCAAGCATAGCTACCTTACCTACGTGAGCAGCGCAGCTGAAATTATATTATTACTATTGATTCTCCAGTATTTGCCAGCAATTACCTCTAATGTGAGAGCACACAGAAGCAGTCTACAGACCACTGTACACATTCTCTGTCTGGTGGTGAGGTTGCCAGGCGATGTGAGCTGCCGGATGAAGGCTGTTCAGATGGGTCTATTTTTCTCCCCCAGGCTGCTCTCTCCATCTCTTTTTGTCTCGCAACCCCCCCACCTCTCCTCTCAGCTTGCCGCTCCTCTTCTGCATACTAATAGATGGACAAAAAGCTGATTACAAACCAGAGCCGGCAAAACTGTTTAATAATACTCTTGGCTTTGAGGTTGTTTTACAGGGAGGGAAATTTATGGAAACTTCATCCATTGTTACTTGTTATATTTATGGCTTTCACTAACTGGCCGTGAGATACAGTAGACAGAAAGTCTACCAGCGCGTAGTTACTGTCAGGTGCATGTGCCAGAGTTCTGCAGGAATGTTTTATATCTTCATGCCCTCCAGAGGAGGGCAGTGTAAAAGTCCGCTTGAGAAGCAATAAATTCAGTGGTAGCGCTGCTTTTAGTTGTTGTTGTTGTTGTTGTTTTGCTGTGATGTGCTTTGATAACAGTTTTGTGAAATGTCGTTGGGAGCTACAAACACTTTGACCCGACTCAGCGATATTTCAGAAGAGACTATCTCTTCCGCATCTTTAAACAGGAAGGAGTCATTACTCTAACAACAACTCTCAAACTGTGTTTAGCTAATATAAAAACAGGAGCTCTCAGTTGAAGGGAAGACCAATAAACCGTTAGCGTAGTACCATGTTTGTGTAATGGCCATAGGTACTTGTTTTCAGTAGTTTCTGTAGTAACGTTTTAAAATGAGGATTAAAAGAGCCCACTTGTAACTTACAGACCCGATGGACTCAAATACATTTACCCTTTTCCTTCTCTAAGTAAATAATTTCCCCATATGAATTTGCACAAGGAAGTTGTAACTCCTATATTTATAATATTTTCTTACACATAAGAATTTTACTCTTAAAATGTCACTGCATTTCCTTTGGGCTTTCTTTCTTTGTTTTCTATGTAATACTTATTTTTGTAATTCTTAACAAAACCAGATATGTGAAACCAGATATAGGAAAGTATAGAAACTGGAAGAGTTGTTCAATGGCAGAGTTCCTCTTCCTGATAGGCCTTATCCCCAAGAGACAGGTATAATTAGAGCTATGGAAACAGGAAACACCTCGCCCTGCCTATCGCCTTCTCCCTCCTCGCTCTTCCCCCTTTTCTCTCTCTCTCTCTCCTCTCAGATGTGCATTTATGTGTACAAATTATCAGGTGCAGACATGTAGAGTAAGGTCTATAATGAGTCCTATGATGGTTATCAGCGTGTCTTACAACCATTACTGGAAATCGGGGCTTGGCTCGTGCCAGTTTTTTTCTTGTTTTTTCTTACAGAAAGTAATTAACAAGCCGCAGAATATAATAGAATAGAACATAGGCAAACGTTTTTACTACCCTTCCCTAGTTTTTTCACTGAAATAGTTGTCATGCTGTGCCAAATATAGGAGTTGTGAGAGGATGAAG